CCCCAAAACCCCAAAACCCCAAAACCCCAAAACCCCTTTAAATTATTTTCAAATAGAAATAATTTTTAACATGTATATTGGGCCTTGGCAGGAATTCAAATTAGCCAAAATATTGCAACTCAAGGACAAGGTTGACAAAGAAGAGCATAACGCAAATAAACTAGAAAATAAAGCTCCTTCTTCTTTATCCAATCAGGGTCAATTGGTTTATAATCAAGATCCGAAATATTCGAATAGTGAAGGCTTTAAAAATTATAACTATAACGAAAGAAATTCAGAAGCTGGAAGATTCTCAGAAAAAGCTCGGAGTAATAATTCATCCAAAAGCAGGTCAAGGAAGTCCTATTATAGTAACCCTAAAAAGGTCCAGAGACACAGGTCTAATAACATTCCAAAACCTGGTCCTCCAAGGCAACAGAGGTTTGGAAATATCCCGAACGGAATGAACCATCAACAAAATAGAGGGATGATTAAAGCAAATAAGAGTAAGAATAGATCTCCAGTCACTAATAACACAAATTACTCATCAGGAATGATGAAAAGTACCTCAAATTCTTTTAAGAATGGAGATAATCATTCTTCAAAATCCTACAAGCAACCTTCACATCGCACAATGAAAGGAAGGAGTAATGACAGAACCTCATTTATGGGGTCTACTAATAACAGTGAATCCCGAAGCTATGCTAGCCATATGATCCACGAAATGAGGAAAAAGAACTTCTTCAATAACTTTTCAAATCAGAATATGAACAGATGTATTGAAGTAACTTATGATAAGTGGAACAGATTTGAGAACTTCGTTAAGTTTGCATCTAATAAAGAGAAAAAGGAGAAACTTCAACAATTAGATCCTCCTCCAATTGAACAGTATGTTGATGGAGATACAGTTTACAAAATTAGAGGAATGGGACAAGGTAGACCACCCAAGGTGACTAAAAGACCTCTTGTCTCAAAAAAGGAAGTAAAAATGGAGCATAAAGATAGAGTTAGCAAAATGAAGGCTCTATATGGAATCGGAGCAAACCCTAATCCTATTCCAAATCCTTTACATGATACTCCGAGAGAAGAGAAAAAGGATAAAATGCCAAGCGGAAATGTATTTGATTATCAACAGAATTCCAAAAATGCATATGCTGAGGAGACTAAGTACCTCAAGCATAAGAATGAAGAAAATAAATCCTCAAATAACAAACCTAAGCCTTCAAATGGAAAGTCATTATACAGTTTTTACCAAAATATTATTGATAAGAATACAGAAGGAGATTCTCATAAAAATCAGATAGAAAAGTTGCATCACCCTAAATATAAAATTGAACCAAACAAAGAGTTAGCTCCAACACTTTCGGCTACAGAAGTGAAGGAGAGCCCAACTCTTGCTGAGAAATCATCAAAGTTTAAGAATGCAGGAAGGGATATTGTTCATAATAGTCCTCATGACTCTCTTGGGAAGAGTCAGCAGCTTGATGCTGATACACCTGTTCAGGAGAAGAAGCTTGAGGAGATTATTGAAGAAAATATAGAAGCTTCACAAAGAGAATCTATTCAAGCAGAAATTATTTCTCTCAAAAGTCCAAGTCCTAATATTGACAAGACTAGTAAAATTATGGAGGAAAGTGACGGATTATTGGAATGGGCTCTAAATTTACCAGAGGATATGAGTGGAACTCTCCCATCTCAAGCTGGAAAATATTAGCTAAAAATTTCAATCTTTATATAATTAAAAGGGGTTTTGGGGTTTTGGGGTTTTGGGGTTTTGGGG